ATGAGATTTACATAGCGCCGTCCGGAGTACAAAAAGAGCGCATGCAGGCAGATGATTTGTTCATACAGGATGATGACGGAAAGGATATACAGCTACCCCCAGATTACAAAAAGTAAAATTTTACCATTGTTTTAAGTTGTGTGTAGTTATTGTCTTTTGTTTAGACTAACGAAAAGTCAATGTACACCACTATTTATGTTGGCTTATCGGCATCGCGGTGCGCAGGCCGTAATACACACGCATTCAATGCAAGCAGTAATGGCAACTTTGTTGTGGCCTGGCGAGGTTTTCCGTTGTACACATTTGGAGATGATTAAAGTACTTATAAGATATTTTGTTATTTAATAACTCATTTAAGGCTAAATACTAATATTAAATTTAAAAGGGTATTTACGACGAGAACTTAAAGCGTTACTTACGTTATGATGAGGAGTTGGTGGTGCCCATTATAGAAAATACGCCATTTGAACGAGATCTAGCGGATAGCATGTATGCAGCTATGCTTAAGTATCCTGGTTGCAGTGCTGTGCTGGTTCGACGACATGGTGTATATGTGTGGGGTAAAAGTTGGGAGAAGGCTAAAACTATGTAAGTATATACATATATACATATCTAAAATGTATATTCACTTTGCTATTAATTTATTAATTGAATAATTTAAGGTGTGAATGCTACGACTACCTCTTTTCTATTTGTGTGGATATGAAAAAGAACGGCTTGAATCCAGAGAAATTCGAATGAAAAAATCGGGATTAAAGAAACAAGAATTTACTGTAATTCACTTCAGCCGAAAAGTTGTTATCTGCTTTAGTTGAATATTTTGTATTTGTAGAGAAAAGTTTAAATATATTTTTAAATATACAGCTACACTTTGATACAACCAAATATATGTACATGTACGTACATTTATATATACTAGTGTTCGCCCAGCGGTTGAAATTCAACCGATAAAATTAAGGATAGTTTATGTAAGTTGAATGAGCTAAAATAACATTAGTTGGAATGGGTTAAGTGGAGGGGAGTTTAGCTTAGTACTTGGCATAACATAACATAACCATAACATAAGAATAAATAACATAACATATGAAGCATAACACACCACAATATAACATGGCAAACTCTTCAGTTGTATTTCCTTTTTATCCCTTTTTTCACCTCTATCTAAATCTTATTTATTTTGGTTCATTTTATGCCAAATGATGTTGCCTTTGATGCCACATCAAGTGATATCATGTCGTGTGGTGAAATTGGGTGTGGTGAGCTGCGGTGTGGTGGAATCTGGTGTAGGAGTTACGGTGTGGTGAATTTAGGTGTGGTGGATTCAGGTGTGGTGAGTTAAGTTATGGTGAGAAAGTTGAGGTGTGGTGAATTAAGGTGTGGTGAATTTTGGTGTGGTGAGTTGAGGTGAGTTAAGGTGTGGTGAGAAAGTTGAGGTGTGGTGAATTAAGGGTGGTGGATTTAGGTGTGGTGGATTTAGGTGCGGGGGTTAAGGTGTGGCGAGTTGAGGTGTGGTGAATTTAGGTGTGGGGAGTTAAAGTGTGGTGAATTAATATGTGGTGAGCTCAGGTGGAGTAAGTTTTTAAGTTAAATTGAGTTAAAGTTAAGGGGTTATGATCTTTATCCTTATCTTCATCTTCATCTTCATCTTCACTTTACCTTCTTCCTTGCATGAATCTTAATCTTCGTAAATCTGATTTCTAAACTGCTGCTTAGCAGATTTCTTTAATTCAGTATCAATATTAAAGCAATGTCATTGATGCCACATAAAGTGATATCATGTCATGTGGGGAAATTGGGTGTGGTGGTTTGCGATGTGGTGGAATTGGGTGTGGGAGTTACGGCGCTGTGAATTCAGGTGTGGTGGGCTTAAGAGGTGCGGTGAGTTTAGGTGTGGTGAATTTATCTGTGGTGAGTTGAGGTGTGGTGAATTTAGGTGTGGGGAGTTAAGATGTGGTGAGTTGAGGTGTGGTGAGTTAAGGTGTGGTGAGAAAGTTGAGTTGTGGTGAATTACGGTGTGGTGGATTTAGGTGTGGGGGGGGTTAACGTGTGGTGAGTTGAGGTGTGGTGAATTAAGGTGTGGTGAATTTAGGTGTGTGGAGTTAAGGTGTGGGGA